GGACCAACTGCTTAAAAGTAGTAGGCACCGCAAGACTTATTTTGGTGTTGAAATCAATGACTTATTCCACCAACTTCTTGTTTAGTTTAAAATCATCATTGTACCAGAAGAGGATCTTCGGTCTCAGACTATGAGTCCCATATGTTTAATCTAACATTGGCCTTAAGAGGTGTAGTGTAAATTAATTTTTTTTGTTGTTTTTCTGATTGTCTTTGGAATTACATATCTTTTATAATTTATAATTCGTTATTGTCTATTCGAATGAGCATTTCTCCATCGAATAAGCTTACTGTGGATGCAACAAATTAATTCTAAATAAAAACGCATTAGCTTCTTCCTGTTTATGCCATAAGTTTGATTAATCGTTTTTAATTTTTTTAAACCGTTAAAAAGCAAAATCGAAACTAAAAGAAATTAAACGATGTTAACTTGTTCCGTTTAAGAGAGCTGCACGCAACAGTTTCGTTCATACCGAAATGAGTTAACAAAACTTTTAAAGTAAAGGTTTAGAAAGGGGATTAAGCCGTTTCTTTTTTCAGCGATTTAACAGCAAATTAAGTCAACAATTTATTGAGATGTTTTAGCTGTATTTAGTTTTTATTTTTTAGTTTTTATTTTTCTGCTGTTATGTGCTGTTAAATTTGCCGTTTTAAGTGTTGAGACAAGTGTTGCAACTCTCTTGCATGTTTGAGATACATTTTGCAACATATTTTAATTGCTTGTAATAGCCAACAAACAACAACTACAAATTGTTTACAAAAATATTTGGTGCAGTTCAGCTAATGTGAATAAAAGTATTGAAAATATTTCCTGAACTTACATTGAATGTTTACCTTTTTGTTAAAGCTGTAGTTTAGCTGATATGAATTCATTTTAATGGAAAGATTATTAAAGTTCAGGGTAACTTTCCTATTTCCTACCTGTTTTAACATAAACATTAAACTGTATATAGACATGTGAAAGTGATTGCATTGTAATTTATCGCAATGTGTTAAGATTTAAAGCAGACTTTATTTGATGTTAATAATGAGGGTTGTGTCAAAATAGCGGCCTTTCTTATCCACTTAAATGTCTAAGTTGAGTAATGCAACGAGTACAACTCTACTCGTTAATTTGGGTTCGCTGATGCTATTGATCGCTATATGGATAGTGTTAAAGGCAGAAGTGGTCCCCGAAAAAAAAATAATGCACCTCATCAGGACTCAATATATGCACTGTATAGCAAGTGTTGTCAAACAATCAAAACTTTTTAATAATAAATCGGTGTTAAACAGAGTTGAGAGTTGTTTTTAATAGGTAATAATAGAGTTTATAATAGAGTTATGTTACATATAATATAACAAATATTAGAAGGAGAATTCCTATTATTTGCTTGGATGAATAAAGGATTATTATGCGGAGGCGGTCAACATTGACTGACTAATAGAATATATAAAAGATTTAGAGTTGGACATGTTATATTACAACAAATATTAGGAGGAGAGTCCTTATTATTTTCTTAGAACTATTATTTCGGATTGTATAGGAAAGTCCATCAGCATCTGCAAGACTTGAATTATGTGGAAAATATTGGCCTATTTGGACACAATGAAGACCCTATACTAACTGAATTAGGCGTTCTGACAATCGCAACAATTACACATAAACATCGATTAAATTTAAGTAAATAGTAAACAGTAAAAGACTTACATAATACCACCAGTTTTAACTATGAGTCAGAACCTCCTTTCTCCTACGTGTAAAATAACGTTCCTGTTGATGGTAATGCTATTTATAATACACACTGTAAAGTTCAAAAAACACATTGTTCTACGATTCAGATAATTTTTGCTCCCTAAGAAACATCATTCTTCTATTAATGATGATATTGTTCATTTTTACCGAGCAAAATACAATAGGCGCGTGTCGTCTTTATAAATTTCCATAATATGTAAAATTCTAACGAAAGCCCATTTCCCTAACAGATGTCAAAAAATGATACTATTTTATTGTTCAAGAAATGTGACTGAGTAACTGGAAAATCAAGCAAAAAATGTGGAGGTTTATGAACCGCATTAAAATGAAAATATTGGGGCCCAAAACCATATTAAATAAAAACAACAACGTTCAGTAAATGATGCAAATAATAAATAAAAAGAATGTCAATGTTTAAAGTTCAAAATTTAATTATAATTTAATTTAATTAATGTTAGTAATGAATACTCAAAGCAGCTGCATGATAAACAATGTTAAGCAACGTTGAAATATAGCTAGTGGCATTCTAATATAGTTCCGCTATAGATAATTTTCGGTCCGTCGCTTAAAGTGGCTAGCGACGCAATAGAACGAAAATCATTTGGAGAGGAACTATATGTAATGAGTCCCGACATTTTGCTAGAAATACAATAAAACACAGTTAACAGTTTATGTTCCCGACTTATAATATATAAAGATTAGGTTTCTTATATATTTTATATCGTTTACATAACTTATATGCCTATATATGTGTTTCAAGTAATTAAAAAAAAAACAAAGCATTATTTTTGTATAAATTTATTTTATACTTTATACATGAGAAGTGGATAACAATAATTTATTTTAAAGTAAATTTTAAAAGGTCTAACATTATATACATTTGATCTATTTATATTTGTGATAGCGGTAATTGCTGGTGCACTTTCTTTTTTGTACCGATTTTTGTCCCGAGTTACGCGGAGTCTCCTCATAAATCGAAGAAAGTGAACTTGTTGGAGATAAAATACTGTTGAGATTGGATAAAGAAGTATTATAATTTAATAGACCCATATGCCCATTGAATATGATATCGTTTATTAATTTTTTTGCTAATAATTTTTGTCTTTCTTCCATATCGGACAATTCGTGAGCCCAGACTTCTGCAATTTTTGAATTAATATCACTTGAGGATTTATTAAAATGCGTTGCAGTTGGAGAAATCGGTTCACTTTGTTTTTTAATTTTTTCAGTCTTACTACTATAGCTAGTTGTTTTATACGATTGTTGTTTATAGGTTTTTGCATGCTGAAGTAATTAAATAAATAAAAAACAAAGAAATTATATATAGTGTAGAGTTTACTTACCTCATTTATACTATCTGTGCACAAAAGAAATTCCCTGTCATCCATCGATGATTCGGTTAAGTCATCAATAGGCAAGTTATTTAAGTTATCATTTGACGACTTACTTAAATCAGATTTTATATCAGTAATCAATTCAATATTTTTATTATTGAAATTAATATTAACTTTAGAATCCTCTAGTTGTGGCGTTTGCTGTTTACAGATACGTGAGGAGTAAATGAAATCAAATTATAATAAAATAAATATATTATAAAATAGTATCAATACTTACTTCATTGATACTACCTGCATAACCTGAAGGTGTGTCATCTGTTATAAATTCCGCATCATCAATCGACGATTCATTGAAATTTTCAATTAGTGAATTACTTAAGTCATTATTTGATGATTTATTTAAGTACGATTTTGTGGGAGTCAACAATTTAATTTTTTTGGGCGCTAAATTATATTCTTTAATATTTACAGCTTCTTGCGGTTGTTGTTTATACATGCGTTGGTCCTAAAATAATTCATATAATCATAAAAGATAAACATTATAAAATAGAATGTACTCACTGCATTGATACAGTTATCACTACATAAAGGCTTAACGTCTCTGAGGAAATCCATTGCATTAAAGTAATACAAATTTGCTCTCGTAAAGTCTACTTTTTTACCGCTTTTTTCCAGTTCTCTCATACGTTTCACTTCACGCCTATAATTCGTCCGTAAAATATTAATTTTCTTTGATAAACACTTTTTAGTGGCGTTTGGATATTTTTCTTGGAATTTTAATAAAAGCCTATCGTATTGAGCATTTTTAACGCTTAACGTCTTGTAGTCCTTGCTATTTACATCCCACAATGCCGGCAAACTGCGATAGACATTCAGTAGTTCTATTATAAAATCTGTTTGTTCCGTATACATCATTCTATCTATGGTAGATATTAAAAAAAAACATCAATTATGTATTTATATGTTCATTATTTTTAGTAGATGAAATTCTCAATTATATTAACATACATACATATGTTTATGTTTACTATTTATAATTATTCTTATAACAATTCTTTAAATAATATAATAGTACTTACTGAAAAATTCTACACTTTTTCAAAATTCTACAAAATAAGAATTTTTGGCAGTCCGTACACGTGCTTAACGAATAAACTCTCAGCTGAACTGATTGCTTGCTTGCTCAAGCAGGCGTATGTACACCAGCGTATATTGATTGAGGAAGACGGCAGTATGCAATCTTAGAAGGAGAAAAATGTAGTTAAATGTATTCAGCATATTATTGAAGGTCAAAAGGCTTGATGCTACATTTTGTATTAAATACATTTATGTATATGTGTATTAACACATGAAAAAATATTTATGTCGATTCCAGCAGGTTAATAGGTTTGCAACTAAAAATATTCATATATGATTGTGGTGGTTGATTCAGGCAGCGTTCATTTCAGTTCAACACATATTAATAGTGTTGTAAAACGTTAATACTTAATGGTGTATTTGTTCGTTGTTTCACAGCTGTTTATGCATTTTATTCTTTGTATTTTTAAACGTTTTAGTGGTAACGAAGTCAGTAGTGCCTATTATGGATTGTCGAGAACAGAAATATTCCACGAAAACTTATCCCATATTATTATTGAGTTTTATTAATTCTAATGTATTGTATATATATATATACATATAAATGAGCTCAGTTCAACACTGACTGCATGCGTAAGTGCAGTGAAAATGTTTAATTCGAATTCCATATAGATATTAAGTAGAATAGTTTAAATGCGTTGTTGTTATTTTTGTTATTAATGGATATATGCATAAATAGTCTATAATTTCTGTTATTACAAAAAAAAAATCGAAATCGTGCAAAAAAAAATTAAAACTACCTAAGATGAACCTGGACTTCGCAATAAGACCGTTTACAATATCTAATTCATTAATTTAAGTAAATGAAACTAGTAAAAACGTAAATGATTTAGAAATTTTTTTTTTGATTTTCTAAAGTAAAATATTGATTTTATTTAAATTTATTTTTTTTTATTTTATTTTTTTTTATTTTATTTTTTTTTATTTTATTTTTTTTTATTTTATTTTTTTTTATTTTATTTTTTTTTATTTTATTTCTCTTCAAACAAATAAATTCTCTTTATCGTTTGAATTTAATCTTAACATTAATAAAGTTATATACATATGTACATTATTCTTAAAACTAATTTATTTCGACTTATCAACTATAAATCCCCGTTTTTTCTGCAAAATTAAAATGCAGTTATAGTTTTTCATTCCATATTTTATCACTTTAGAGTAAACAAATTATGTAAATTATACATATATATAAAAAAAATAAAAAATTCTTTTTAAAATGAATGGAATCTCCAAATACATATATACACATAATATGTTTATGTTGTACTGTAAATTTTTTTGTTTTACACGCATGTTCTCACTTATGTTACAATAAATTTTAAAATGCTTCATTTCTTCATAACTGGACTATAAACAGTTATATCGGTTCTTCTTCAATATCTATAGTAAAATCAAAATAATCACTAGATGTTTTATTTGAATTATGAAATGATTTCACTTTATCATCTCTAGTAAAATTCAAGTAATTTACTGTTATATTGATTCTTCTTTAATATCTATAGTAAAATCCAAATAATCACTCGATGTTTCATTTGAATTATGAAATGATTCCCCTTTATCATCTCTAGTAAAATCCAAGCAATTTACTGTTATATCGGTTCTTCTTTAATATCTATAGTAAAATCCAAATAATCACTCAATGTTTCATTTGAATTCCCTTTATCATCTCTAATAAAATCCAAGCAATCACTCGATGATTCATTTAAAACAGTAATTGCTTCTCTTTTATTGTCTGCACTAAAGCTCAAATAATCATTTGAAGATTCATTTAAGTTATCAATAGACAATCTATATAAGGTGTCAGAAGTTTTATTGAGATTATCATTTGAAGATTTACTCAAGTGTGCTTTTAAAGCTAAAATTATTTTATGTTTTTTTTCCATTAAATCCATCTTTTCTTTAGGGTCTGTTGGTTGTTGTGGGTGCTGTCGTATGCGATGTATGCGATTATGCTTAAAAATGATAGTTATTTCATAGTAAAAAAAAACATAAATATTATTTAACAGAATGTGTGGTATGTACTTACTTTATTGGTACTATTCGCATAGCAAGGAGGTTTAATATCTCTAATAAAATCCAATTTACTGAAGTAATACAAATTTCCTTCAGAATCATCTACTTTTTTGCCGCTTTTTTCCAATTCTCTTCTACGCCTCACTTCACGTCTGTAGTTTATACGTAAAATACTAATTTTCTTCGATAGACACCTTTTAGTTGCTTTTGGATATTTTTCCTGATATTTTAATAATAATTTGTCATATTGAGCATTTTTAATATTTAAGTTTTTATAATCGTTACAATTCGAATCCCATAATGCCGGAAGACTGCGATAAACATCCAGAAATTCTAATATAAAATCTTTTTCCTTCTTTTCCATTTTTTTTCTATTTTTTCTTCATATTACAAAAACATGTAATATTTATTATTATTTTTTTTTATTTCAAAAGTAAAGTACCATAACAACAAATAATAAATAATTAATTTCTTTAATAATCTCTCTTGTGTTTTTGCATTTTAGTACAAAATAAATAATGCAATGAAATTATAAATACAGTTGAAATATATTTTTATAATAATTTGTAGATTTTTTATTCAAATAACACAAATTTTTAATGTTTGTAATAATTAAACTAAATTAAAATTTTAAAAATAACACAAAAGTCTTTTAAAACAAAAAAATCTGTTTATCAGTCCGCACACGTGTTAAACGAATAAGTATTCTCGACTGAATTGATTGCTTGCTCAAGCAGGCGTATGTTTACCAACATGCATTGGTTGAGAAAAGCGATAGCACGATAACTTAGAAGAGGAAAAATGTAGTTGCGCTGCAAATACATTCAGCACAACGAGAAGGTCAGAAAGCTTGACGTAAATATATATATGTGTGTGTGTTTGCACATAATCGCTGCTTGAAATAGCACTAATTTAATAAAAAACGTTGAGTTCAATTACAACACCCAGTATATTTGCAAGCAATTTGTGGTTGATTCAGCTAGCGTTCATAGCAATTGAAAGTAAGCATTATTGTATATTAGATGTAAGGGCGAGGGAGGGAAGTCACGTGAATTGTTGTTTTTGTTTCTGAACAGTTTTTGGATTTTTGCTTTGCTTAAAAGTTTTATATTTTCTAAAAAGTAAAGGTAAATAAATAAAAAAAGATTATAACTTTTTTATTTATTATTTTATGAGTAGATATTTTGTTGTTATTATTATATTTTTTTATTAATATATTTTTTTATTAT